AGGAGCGAGTGCGGCGCATCCTCTCGCATTCCGGGCGATGACGGAGGACGAGCTGCCAGGGCGGCGACGGCGATAATGCGTGTAGCAACAGTGAAAGCGAGGGAATCGCTGGCGAATCCTTCGACGCCACCGCCTCTTCCCTAAATGCGGGTCAATGGCGAGCCAGCAGCGATGGGGGCGTAGGTGAGATTTTCCCCAGAATGGCGCACCAAGCCCTTCCTCCTTCTCCTCCCAATCCCTTGGAAGATCGCCAGAATTCTCCCAGCGCCGCCGCCACCGAGTGGCCGGAGAAGGCAAATTTCGGAGACTCCGGGCTGGCGAAATCTATCGCGAGCTCCATCGCGTCTAGAAGCTGGGGATCACCGCGGCAGCAGCAGCAGCGCGATTGGCCGGTGGCCGACGATTGCATATTTTGCAAGATCGTCCACGGCTATTCCCCGGCATTCAAGGTACTGTGATCTCTCATGGATGTTCTTCGTAGATTTTTTATTTTTTTTCTTTCTCTTTGGCAGCTCTACGAGGACGACTTTTGCGTGTGCATTCTCGACATAAATCCACTGTGCTATGGGTATGAGAAACTTTGTTCTTGGTTCTAGAAACTCTGTCTAGATCTTATCATCGTCTCTTCCAGGCACTCTCTACTCGTTCCCAAGGGTCATTTCCCGGCACTGGATGCTACTCCTCCAACGGTAAGCATCCATTGTTTCGAGCTAAGACTTCTTCTCAAACGCTAACGCTTGGAGGATTTCTTTCTTTTTTCTTTGTCACATTCTCGCTTGCTTGTAGGTAGCGGCGGCCATGTGTAGTGTCGTGCCTTTGCTGAGCAACGCGATCATGGGAGCGACTTCTTGTGGTAGGCTTTCTCCTTAAGTTATTTCTTTGTCAAGTTTGTCCGAGAGTCTATATAGTTTCTTACTGCTCACAGCTTCCAGATTCTTTCAATATGGTCGTCAACAATGGTGAGGCTGCCGGCCAAGTCGTGTTTCATGTAAGTGTGACGATTTCTACTTCCTTTTTTCTGGGAGTTTTCTAAGAGACAACGCTTTACAGACTCACTTCCACATTGTCCCGAGGTTCTCCGGAGATGGGCTATGGACAAACGAGGTACTTAAACGAGATTTCCTATAAGTTCTATGAGCTTGACTTGATGCATTTGCTCCCAGAGTGTGGTGCGCAGGCCACTGTCGACGTTCAAGGATCCCACTCAGCTCACACTCGCTGTGCGATCCATCCTGAGGAACAACGAGTCGTGAAAGCTAAGAATCTCTGGCAAGGTTTGTGTACTATTTCTTCGTGATACGCCCCTGGTCTATACAGAAATTCATCGCAGATTTGTATTCTTGTTCCTCTCGTTTGTTGGCGCGTCTGTGTCGCAAAGCTTGGCTGTCTGCATCGAGACTGATTGAAGTATCTCTTTCACTGCCACTGTTCGTTGATCTTAAGTTTCCAGCTATGGCCATTCTCTTTTATCCTTGTTCCTTACAGGCGAAGGACGAAGGGTTGTCTTGGTCGAGACTGGACTGCCTGTTCTTTGTTTTTCTCCCCCTCTTTTTGTTCTTCTGGATGGTTGGAGCTGTAAAGTTTTGGAGAAACACTTGGCAAACACTTGAAAATCGTGGTCAAAAGAAATAAAGAGATGGCAGCTTTTATGTTGGCAAGTCTAAAGCGCTGGAAGAAGAAAATGAAAAGATGAAATGTTAAGTCTAAGATTCGGGTCGCCAACTTTCTATCCGAGGTAAATGTATGGATCAATATATATCTTGTAGCATACATTCCTGACAATCTCAGACTAATCTTTTTGAGAAGATCAAGAAGGAGAAAAGACTAAAATAAAAGGCTGGAGACTTTCAGCGTGTTAGATTGACGTGAGGACAATTACACTAACTCCAATTAACTAACTAGCATTACTGAAGGGAGTTTTTGCTTTCAAAGGTTGGAGGCTTCCTCCAATCTTCATATCCAAACACTGTGCTCAAAATAAATAAAGAGAGTGCAACTTTTATATTGGAAAGTCGAAAGCGCTGGAAGAAGAAAATGAAAAGGTGACATCTAATTCTAAGATTCCGGAGCCAACTTTCCTCTATGAAAATGTATGTATCGTAGTAAATATCTATCTAAGGTTTCATGGTGTAGTTGGTCATCACGTCAGTCTAACACACTGAAGGTCTCCAGTTCAAACCTGGATGAAGCCATTTATTTTAGTCTTTTCTTAAGGTTATAAGTCAAGAAGAACCTTCTATAATTAACTACATGAAACACTACTTCAAGATGAGGCATACCTTAGACGTTGATCATTCATGAGCGTTCCCTTGAAGTGCTTCCAGAAGAACTGAAACATCAAAGTTTGGGGAACTTCTAGTATAAATCGTAGTTGAGGCTGGACGCAGGCGAGATCCAGGTGGCTCGACCGATTCACTGGATCTCACACTTACCAAGTTTGAAGTTTCCCAAGGATCATTGAGATGTTTCCATTGCATCTAACTAAAATCAACGAAATTTAACGATTCATTAACATAATACTGCTGAGACCTCGTTTCGTCACAGCTTCGTGCTCTCTGTGAGAAACATGGAATAAAAAACTAATGCTCAACATCCATTAAACTTCTATTGCTTCTTGAGTTTATAATTTGGGGGGTTGGGTTGTGCCAGGCTAAGGCGGTAGTGTAAGGCCAAAGCGACACGTGGAGAGCCGGGTAGCAAGCTACCGGTGGCCCTCCTCCCACAAAAAATTAGGTTAATAGCGTTGGGACACGTGGTCCCATATCAGCTATTAAACTGATAAGAACAGATACTACACTTGATCTTAGCCAAAAGGCCGAGAAAGGTATGAGTTTTCTTTGCCCAGCCCTCTGTTTATATACTCAAGCCCCGGCACGATTCTGCGCCTTCGCATGTGGGATAGGGCGCACGCTTATGTTGCCCTAATAAAGAACCCTATGGTCTCCAGTTCGAACCTGGAGAAAGCCAATATACTTTTTATCTTTTCTCAAGAATGTAGATGCAAGCTACGAAGAACTGGATCATGAGATCGTTCTGGAGGATCTTCTCAAGCGTCTAGAAGTTAGATCGAGCTCTTGTGTCAAAAGCTAATCATAGAGTTTAAGATTGTCACGACTGTTTCTTACATGACACTAGAGAATGTATCATGTAGTAGCGGACGATCTCTGCGCGCTTAGATAGTTCGTCGCCATACCCATCACCACAAACCTACAAACGAGCGAGTAGAATCAGTAACAGAGAAACAGAGAGAAAATCCACAAACTCACGCCAGTGCCATGACCACTTGCTTGAGATCGTTCTCCAAATTCTTCATGTTCGCGAGCGATTGCGCGCAAAAAATGAGGGCAAGCCACGATCCGATCTTGTTCTACACCAGATCTATGAGCTCCAGCTCCAAAATCCAAGCTCAAAATCAACTCACCCGGAGCATGATGCCGAGAATTCCAAACATCACCGCCAGCAAGCTCGAGTAATCCGGAGGAAGATCCTGCGGAAGCACCACCGGCGGGACATACGGCCGGGCCGCCGACGGCAGGCGCGGATCCGATGGAAGCGCTCCTCCCACGCCTTTGCTCATGAACCCTAAATTAAAATATTTGTCCCTATCCAGGCCCTAATTTTTAGAGAGCGCCATGGGATTCAAGGATGAGCACTCCTTCGGTAAGTCGATTTCGCGGATTTTCTCCATTCTCTCTGTGATTCCTTCCTCCGAATAGATAGCAGACTCGCCGAATCGTCGAAAATTCGACAGAAGTACGCTGATAGGATTCCGGTAAGTCCAAATCTTCCTTTTCCTTCGGATTTTCTTCGAATTTTTGGGGTGATCTTGGGCTTTTCTTGTAGGTGATCGTGGAGAAAGCTCCGAGATCCAACTTACCAGCCATGGACAAGCCCAAGTAAGTACTCCATCGCTCAAGCTCCCAATTTTCTCTTGAATCTTTTCCTAGCCTTTCTACAGCTCCATTCCAACAGTTCTTCCCAATCTCATCAAAATAAAATTTTTCCATCTCCATCTCTCGAGCTCTCGAGCTCTCCATCTCAATCTTTCGAGCTCCTTTCCTTCATTTCCACGATCTCGATTGACAAACTTTTCTTTTCTTTTGCAGATATCTCGTCCCCGCGGATCTGACTGTGGGGCAGCTCGTGTACATCATAAATCGCAGGCTCAGCTTGTCCCCAGGCCAGGCGCTCTTCATCTTCGTCGGAAAAGTATTGCCACAAACAGGTAATCTTCTCGCGGAAAAGCTTCTTGTTCTTGTTCCTAAAGCTCGAGTTCTTCCCAGGAGCCATGATGATGTCGATCTACAACGATTACAAGGACAAGGATGGATTCTTATACGTAACTTACAGCGGGGAGGAAGTATTTGGAGGAGAAACCATATAAAAGAAATCAAAGACAAACATTGTAAATGAAGAAATTTGTACAGATTTATATTGATCTTTGTGTTCATGTTATTGGTTTTGAGGTAGTGTCGTGTGGTTTAAGCAAAGTTTGGGGATTTCGTATAATGTACAAGGGCTTCTTTGTTGGAACGATTTTCGTCTTACGGTCCCATAGTCTAGTGGTTACGACATTGGACTTTGAATCCAAGAGCCCGAGTTCGAATCTCGGTGGGACCTTCTACTTTTCTACCTTTTGTTTTTTCTTAAGTTCTTTGGAGCTAGCTAGGGTTTTTGGAGGCGAGCACGATGCATTGTCCGTTTGACGCGCGGATTCTCCTCATTTTCGGCGCGATCGCATTCCTCGTGCTCCAGGTGGGAAATCCCTGGCGGAGATTTCATAGATCCGTGGCTCACTCGGATTTGTGTTCGTGACAGATGCGTTTGTTTGCTACACAGTCGGATTATGCCGATCGCATTGCCGCAGCTGTGAGGAAGAAGAAATTCATGGTTTGCGATTGATGAGCTGAGCTGCTTGTGACAGGTTGAATCGGAGAATCGATGTATCAGTCAGCTAAAGGCTCTGATTGATCAAATAAGCTCACAGCAAGGAAGGATTGTCTCTTTGGAAGGTGCGTGCCAAACACATTTTGTTGTTGAAACGAATGATTAAGTACGTCGTTTCTCTTAGAACAAAATAAGCGCCTTGATACGAAGGTTCTACAGCTCTCTACCAGAATTGTCGACTTTGAAAGTAAGCTCTTGGTTCTTTCTTTTTCGTTTTCTTGTTCCTTATTGCTCGTTGATGTTGCAGATCAGGAGACGTCGTCCCATCTTACAAGCGCGCAGGTAGATGGAAGTGATTTTTCAGCTTTAAGCTTTTAACTTCTGAGTCTTTCTCAGCCTGTGGCAGCTGTGGTCGTGATGGCATGCAATCGCGCAGACTATTTGGATCGAACAGTTCAATCTATTCTAAAGTATGTTGTTTGAGATATTTCTGGCCTCAACTCTTTTTTTTCCCCTTTACCAGATACCACAACTCTGTGTCAGCCAAGTTCCCTCTTTTCATCTCACAGGTATGGATTGCGTTCAGGGGGAAGGGACTTGTTTTTATAATGCTTCTGGCAGGATGGAACAGACCAGCAAGTTCGGCTGAAAGCTCGAAGTTTTCCGCAATTTACTTATATGCAGGTTTTGGTTAATGTGTGGTGTCCATCTATTTCCTTTTTAATTTCTTTTTCTTTTTCTTTTCAGCATTTGGACGATGAGCCAATACACACACAGAGTCCGGGAGAGATAATTGCCTACTATAAGATTGCGAGTATAGTGCGATGCTGCAGCACTTGTATGCTGACTTACTTCACTTTTTCACAGGACATTACAAGTGGGCACTGAGCCAGCTTTTTGATAGACATAGCTTCAGTCGAGTAATTATTCTGGAAGGTAATTCATGCTTGCTTTTTCTAAAGAAACTTTACGGTGTTTCTTATAGATGACATGGAGCTTGCGCCCGACTTCTTTGACTACTTCGAAGCAACGGCTTCATTACTGGATAAAGACAGGTAGAGTTTCGTGCTTTTATGCTGTTTGAATTCCTAATGTCCGATTAACATGGACAGTGGTTTTTTGAATAAAGCTCTCTCATTGCAGTTTCGTCTTGGAATGATAATGGACAGCGGCAATTTGTACAAGATCCAGGTGCGTTAGTTGCTTAAATCGCTCTAGTTTGAAGCCTATGAAATTTCTGTTAAAACAGAGGCTTTGTACCGATCGGATTTCTTTCCGGGTCTAGGATGGATGCTTAAAAAGTCTCTCTGGACCGAGCTTGCGCCCAAGTGGCCAAAGGCGTACTGGGATGATTGGCTAAGGCTCAATGAAACTCGTAAAGGGCGACAATTCATTCGACCGGAAGTCTGTCGGACGTACAACTTCGGAGAGCATGTAAGTTCTTTTGTTTCATTCTTCGTGAACCAAATACTTTCATGCAGGGATCCAGTTTCGGACAGTTTTTCAGGCAGTACCTAGAAACGATAAAGCTCAACGATGTTCAGGTAACTTCAACGTGGAAAAATCTCATGAACAACTGTCATTCTTGCAGGTGAACTGGAAAGAAGAAGATCTTACGTACCTCATGGAAGTATGCCACTGTCACAGTAACCAATCTATATTGTTTTCCTTACACTTCTACTCGCAGGAGAATTATAAGAAGCATTTCGCTGAACTTGTCAGCAAGGCGGTGCCTGTTCCGGCGCTGGAAGCTGCAAAAGCTTATAACATAGACGGAGATGTGCGAATTGAGTACGATAGTCAGAGAACGTTTGAGGCCATTGCTCGTCAGTTTGGTATATTTCAGGAATGGAAGGTACGATGAGAACACTCCTTTCCAAAAAAGCTGATACTTTACATCGCAGGATGGTGTGCCGAGAACTGCGTACAAAGGCGTAGTTGTTTTCAGGTGGCAGACTTCACGCTATATATTCGTTATCGGGCCTCATTCTCTCAAGGACTTGGGCATAAACTAGAGCTTAAGGTGGATTCAAATTTTGACTCCTTGTTTATCATAGCAGGCTACACTGTTGAATTCGTGCCGACCAAAACATGTGAGACGGCCATCTCAGATAATCTTCGAGACGAGTAAATTCTGAAGTTTCCTCGTGGCCAATATTCCTCCGCGTCTTCAAACTAACGAATTTTTGCTGGTTCTTTTGACGAAATATACCAAGACAGGAACATCCGGAGGACAGCATACGGGTCTGGCAGGCACTTTTGACCAAAGAGCAGCTACTACGGTATAGTATACTGCTGGCCTCAACTACCTCAAACAACTTATTCTATGCATAAATTTCCAGGACTCTCTTCTTTTGGAGAAATCTTTGTCCTCGGCTTTGATCAATCTAAGCTCGGACTGTCCAAGGTAAACTTCTATGATTTTTCGAGTTCTTTTTACTGCCTGAGTACTTTTTATGTAGTTAGGTGTGGCTTTGAAGATTGCTGACATTAGTTATTCTGCCGCAGGAGGAATATAAGGCTACCACTTCTACAAGGACAGGGGGGATAGAAGTTGCGACGTCAGGTGGTGGTAAATACGTGCGCTGCCACCTTCTGCCTGGCATCTGGGTACTTTCCCCTCATGAATGTCATTCATTGTTTTAGTAACTAGTCCTATTCTTTTTTAGCAGGCTGAAGAAGTCGCCACTGCAAATTTCTCCAGAGCAACGAAGCGACGCTATCAGCCAGAGGATTACGTTGGTAACTTTCATGGTTGGGGGAACGAAAGGCACCAGCACCAACCAGCTTTGATATTCTGCTTACAAGGTACCTTGTATTGCTTATGGTTTTCACGATGTCCCTGTCTCCTTTAATGCCTAGATCTCTCCTTTTACAAGATGGCGGGGACGACTTGATGCAGCCGGCCAGTGCGGCAGCAGCAAAGCGATGCTGTTCTTTGCTACGGCAAGACTGCTTCGCTGCCTTTTCTCTGGCACTGCTCCTCCCCCGTGGGTGATTAGTAAGTTAGTAACATGTTGCAGTCGAGCACCTCGCTTTCTTTCTCATATTTTTCTCCTGTTCATGCAGGTTTTCCTGTATCCAAGTCTAGATTCCTCTTTGCTCGATCGAGTTTTACAGCCAGATTACTTTCCACTCGACTACTTCGATCCAACTTAAAAGCTCAATGAAAGACATAGGTGAGGGCTTTGGATTTTGCCTCGTTTCTTACGATTGTTACCTCCAGACCTTCCAAATTGCTTCTCAGGACTTTTTCACGACCAGATTGTCTTTGCTCCAAGTTTTAGCACTGTGGCCAAACTATAAACTTTGCGGAGGTGAGGCATTTGATGATTTTGTCTCGTTGCTTACGATTCCTACTTCCGGCCTCTCCTGTGATCGATCAAAACCATTCAACGGCAAAGGCGGTGCGATCTTTAAAGCCATGGCACAGAAATTTATACGCGAAACGATTGCTTGCTTGGAGAGTAGCCGCGCGCCGTCGACTTATAAATGGGTGGAACATGGTGGCGGCTGACTGGCGTTGACTTGGAGCGAGTTCTTCGTCGAATTTTTTTTTTTTCCTTTTCTTTGGTGTCGTTGAGCGTGTCAAATTGACTGACCAACGCGCAATGCAAGCAGGAGGTCAATGGAAAGATTTAGAGTTCATCAATGCCAAGCATTAAGATTTAAATATCATGGGCATGGGCTGACTTTTGCAAATGGTTTACTCCTTGCAATTCGCGCACTTTGTGTAGCTCAATGCGAGCGAATGAAGTTAAGGAAAGAAGCTTTGAGAAGCCTGTGATGGTAAGAAATGGTACTGTTTGCCTTGTCAACTTTTTTTTTCTTCTAACTTTCCAGGCTCAGCCCACTGCTCATAACTACTGGCAGATGCCTTTCGTTTGTCTTGCATTGATAGTGGGGAAGGAAGAAATTGTGCATCACAACACAACACACACTTCACTTTGACAGAGAGCTGAGATTCCTTTTCCACTCCACCACCACCCACAAGCCCACATGGAAAAAAAGCAAGAATTCTATCTTCACTAGACCTAGGCTTTGAATTGCTGGGCAGTAGGAGAAGAAAAAATGAAGAACAATCGCCCTTCCTGCTGATCTTCAACACATAATGAAGCAAACTTGATGATCTTTGGCCAAGGAGAGCTTTTCTAATGATCTTTGGCCAACCATACCCATCAAAGTCTCAGCCAGCCAAATACAGCCACAGATCATTTGTGTGTGCAACAACAACAATTAAAACGCCCCCAACAGCAGCAACAAGAAAAAAAAAAAAAAAGAGGAGAAAAAAAACTGAGAGAGAAATGAGCCTTGGTGTGAAAGCCCAAGAAACTTCAAACGCTTAAATCTAAGCAAATTCCCCTAGAACATAAGCGCGTGCGTTTGAATGGGGTAAGCGCGCTTAACTTTCGTGTATAGGCCAGCCCCTCGCAGCAATGGAGGCGACGGTGCTGGCGCCCTCCTCCTCCTCCTCCTCGACGATGGCATCCAAGCTCTTCTCCTTCCTCCCTTCCTCCTCTTCCTCCCCTTGGCTATGGAAGTGGAGCTCCTCATCGCAATCGTTCTCCTCGGGAGCCTGGACATGGATTATCACCTGGGCTCTCATCTTGGCGTGGTGGATCTTCCTTCACCGGTTCCGGCAGGGGGGGCTCCGCGGTCCCAAATCCTGGCCCCTCGTCGGCTGCCTCTTCGAGCAGATCGCAAACTTCGATCGCCTCCATCACTGGCTGCTAGATTACCACCACAAGACGTGGACCTTCTCCGCCCCTGTTCTTGGCGTCAACAACACCTTCACGGCCCATCCCGCCAATGTGGAGTACATCCTCAAGACCAACTTCGTCAATTACCCCAAGGTATAGCAGAGCTCAATCCATTCTCTGCCTCGATCGATTGCGCTCGCTCGCTCGATTCCCTGCCGCTCGGCTCCTCCATGCATTGATCGCGATTCTCCGACATGGGCTTCTCCCAAAATCGCATTTTGATGCCGCTGGCCACCGCCCACCTGCATTGTCTTCTCGATCGCTCGTGGTCGGTGTTCTTGGCTGATTCTTTTTCTTTGTTTCTCTTCCTTCCAGGGGGAGCTCCTGAGGCAGCGATTCCGCGACATGATGGGCTATGGGATCTTCAACGTGGATGGGGAGATGTGGATGCACCAGCGCAAGGTCGCGACGGTGGAATTCGCCTCGTCCAAGCTGCGCGACTACAGCACGTTCGCGTTCCGCGATCTCACGCTCAAGCTGGCGGGCATCCTCGCGGATCGATCCGGCACGGGCCAGGCGCTCGATCTCCAGGTCTGCGCAAAGATCTCTCTCACAAAATCGAGACAATCAGCGCGAAAAAATCTTTCTCTCTTGTGACAGGACTTGTTCTTAAGGCTGACGCTGGATTCCATCTGTAAGATCGGCTTTGGAGTGGAGATTGGCTGCCTACGCCCGGATCTTCCACTCATCCCCTTCGCGCACGCTTTCGATTACGGCAACACGCTCATCATCCGGCGATACATCGACATGTTTTGGAAGATCAAGAGGTTCTTCAACGCCGGATCCGAGCGCGAGCTCAAGCGATGCATCCGCGTCATGGACGATTTCCTCTACCGCGTCATCGAGCGCCGCCGCCAGGAGCTGAAGCAATCCAAGGACGTGGTAAGCTGGAAATCCAAGTTATTCCTTAAAGATTCTCTAATATTCGCTCTTCGTCTTCCTAGGGCCGCCCCGACATCCTGTCGAGATTTCTCTCGCTCGACGAGGAGGAGGCCTACACCGACAAGATGCTGCGCGACGTGGTGATCAATTTCGTGATCGCGGGGCGCGACACCACCGCTCTCACGCTCTCGTGGCTCTTCTCGGAGCTGGCCAAGCGGCCCGAGGTGGTGGAGAAGATCCTGGCGGAGGTGGATCGCGTGTTTGGGGCGGACGAGGAGCTGGAGGGAAAGGATTCGATGAGCAAGAAGGAGCAAGTGCTCGCCAAGGTTGCCAATTTCTCGCGGAGGCTGGATTACCAGGGATTAAACCGGCTACACTACTTGCAAGCCACGCTCACAGAGGCGCTTCGTTTGTACCCGGCCGTCCCTCTGGTAAGTGATACCAATCCGAGAGATCGTGAGCTCATTTCCTCGATTCATGCTCTTGGGTCATCGCATTTTGCTCGAATTCTTCCACCGATTGCTCGAATTCTTCCACCAATTGTCACTCCTCTGCTTTTCCCCTGTTTTTCTTCTGTTTTCGCGGATTGCTTGCTCCATCTGGGTTCGTCAATTTCCAGCACTGATTACAAATTCATGCCTTCCATTCCACTCCTCGATCGCTGATCCGTTGATCCTGCAAAAAATTCGTGGATTTTCTCGCAGGAGACCAAGACGGTGGTGGCGGACGATGTTCTTCCCGACGGCTTTAGCGTCAAGGGCGGGCAATTCGTGAGCTACTCGTCGTGGGCGATGGGCAGGCTGGAAGAAATCTGGGGCCCCGACGTCCTGGAATTCAAGCCCGAGCGATGGCTACGCAGCGACAACATCTTCCAGCCCCAATCTCCATTCAAGCTCACGGCATTCCAGGCAAGAAGAGAATTTGGAAAAGTTGGTTTGTTATTATTGTGTGTGTTCTTGACGAGAGATCTTTCTTTTGTTCTTCCAGGCTGGGCCGCGAATTTGCCTGGGGAAAGATTCGGCCTACTTGCAGATGAAGATCACAACCATTTTGCTGCTCAGATTCTTCAAGTTCGAGCTGCTGGACGAGAAGCCTGTCAACTACAGAATGATGGTGGTGCTCTACATGGCCAATGGACTGCTCTCCAGAGTTTCCTTCCGTTAGGAGAGCCCCCAGAGTCTTACAGATCCACCAGCACTACTGAGCATAGGAGAAGAACTAAAGCGTCAGAGAGATTCAATGCTTGCATCAAATACGATCGATGATCGATAGATGATTTTAAGAGCACAAGAACGAACCCGGTTCCATAAAAGCGGCTCTGGATGAGAGACGACGAACAACACCTTCACAACTTTTCTTACTGTGTCTGCAAACAAAAAGAAAAAACTCTCAAGTGAATAAGAAAAAGATGAAAAACAAAGGCTTTGGAAAACCGAAGGAGAAGACGACGAAGCAGTCCCGCTTTGATAGATACGTTGATGCGCGGCCGATTTCTTCCAGCTAGATTGCATTCAAGGCTCGGCGAGAAACCGTAACACCAAAACGTAGCAGCAGCACTAAGTGATCGGTTTGGTTGTTGCTGTCATAACTCCTTTTCCTCTTCCAATTCTTTTCCTTCGCTTCTTTTTCCCTGTGTATCTGTTTGTTGGATCACTGCCTTTTGGAGGCCTGTCGGACAGCCTTAAGTATGTCTGTGAAAGCCACCATGCCCAGCAGGGAGCCTGCGTCGTCCACAACCCACAGCTGATGGACTCTGTTCTCCAGGGCCTTGGAGATAACCTCCCTGAGCGATGCCGACGGCTGGCAAGTGATAAGCGGCTTTTGTTGAGGATCGAGCGATGCTGCTGTCTGGTCGACAGCCTCGATGCATGCGGCCCCGAATCCAAACCGCCTCGCGAGGAACGCCTTGTGCGAAAACTCGAGGACTGATAGCGAGGCCCACTTTGTCAACACGTCCGAGTTGCAGCCTCTCAAATCACTGGCCGAGAATGTCCCAAGCAACCGTCTTCCATCACCCTGTAAAAGGCAAACAAACAACGCGCACAACTTAGCTCCAGGAACCAGAGAATGAAAGAAACAACCAACGAACCACCAACAACATACCGCTACTAGCTGAGTTGCAAGCTGCGCCACCGGCGATGGATCAACGATCGCCACCGCCGTCAGGAACGCAAAGCGCATCGCCCTCACTGCGTACATCACCCGCATGTCCGCGGGAGCGGCATAAACGTTCTTGTTCACCGCTCCGAGGCTGCTGATATCAGTCGACATCAAAGGCTCCAGCTGCTGCGAGTGGACGAGCAAGAACGCTATCACGTCCGTTTGAGTGAGCATGTGATAGCCGGGAGACGATTCGACTACCTCCACACCAGAGACGTGATCCATCGCGCTAGAAACTGGAACTAGAGCCCGGTGAATTCCCTTGCTCATGGGCTCCATAGTGTCAGCCAACCTGGAGAGCAAAAGAAAGTTCTTTAGCAACAAAGCTAGCTTCCTAGTTTCTCTAAAGAGAAAAAAAAAATGAAACTAAAAGTTCTTACGAGGTGTGAGGAGCGATGCTCCAGAGGCTCAATCCTTCCAAGGAATGCCCGATGATCTTGGAGATGGCAGTCTGGAGCCTCTCGCAGCTGCCATCCTCTCGCTCTGCGACATGGATGAGAATGTCGAGCACGCTCACCATTCCAATGTACTGCTTCCGCGGCGCTCCGGTGCTCTTGTCCGATTCCACGACCATGGAACCGCCGGCGCCGATCCAGTGCCCGGGCGGCGCCGCCACTGGCACGGCCAGGATGTTCTTGGCCAGCAACACATTGAGTGTGTCGCCCACCGTCGCGGTGTACGGGACCTCCACAAGCCTTCCCTTGTCTCTCACCAGGTCCTGGACGGAAGTAGAGTGTAGAATCTCCAGAGCGAGCTCCTGCTTCTCCATGGACGATCCTCCAAACCCTAGCAACGATATCCAAGCAAGACAAGATCAATCGATCGATCAATGCCGGAATCACCTCAGATCGAAACAAACAAGCCGACAAGACGATCGATCGATCAAAGGAAGGCGCGCGAGCGTGGCAAGAGGAAATGCGGTAAAGAACTCTAAAACCCTAGAAAACAAGAGGACAATTGGCGCTTTCTAATTGCGCCACCTGGCATAGACCTTGTGCCACCTGATCGCGCCATCTGGCGTCTTCTCATTGTGCCACCTGGCATAGAAAAAAAAAACATAAGCCTGATTTGTCGCAATACATGTTCAAAACCCCGCCAAAATTGCTCGCTAGCAGCTAGTCTTCGTGGACAGCATCCATGAGATAGATTTTGCTAAAGCTCTGTCCAGCAAACCTGGAAGAGGAAAAAGAGATGTAAGCAAAGATCGAAAGAACAATGGAAAACTACAACGAAGAACTCACCCATTGATCTGGCTGCAGTAGTTTGCGATCTGGTTCGTGATGAGATAGCTATCGAGACGAGACGGCTCTGGAATCGACTTGAAGACCGCATTGTTTGGATCGTCTTCCGGGAGAGGATCCTCGCCTGCTTGTCTTCTCGCCATGTTCTCGGCCCTGGAAGTGGATGTTTCTATCATAATGCAAAGCAACGTAGCGAACCGTACCTTCGTTTCTGGAGCCAAGCCTGCTGCTGTGTTTGCTGCCTTGCCAGATTGCGATAGTAGAATTGGAACTGGAGAAAGGACAAAGCAATTCAGGATGAAACCAAAGTGAGTGGTGAAGTCCATTTACCTTTTGCTGCTCCATTGAAAGATCGTCCATGCACTCTATGAGGAACTCTAAGTTCTTTTCCATGAATGGATTGGTCGAAAGCACGAGTCGATCAAAGTCACACTGGTATGGACAAACATATGAGAGGGAAATGTTTTATCAAGTTCCATACCTGAGTAGCCGGTGAATCGGTTTCTAGCTCTGTCATTAGAGCACTCACAAGAGCCGAGTTTGATATTCTGACCTGCGGCGTCGTCATGATCAGTAAGGATCGACTAACAGATGTGTATACTTACAGGAATTTCTTCAAAGATATCTTGCCAGGTGACGTTCTTCTCTCGAAGTCTACAGTGGTATTCATTAGTAATTTGGAAGTACATACAACTATAGCTTACTTTTCGCCATTGAAGTTATTGGAGCGATAAAGCTCCATGAATGAATCGGTGAGCCTTAGAGCCTTGAGTGCGAGGACACCTTGACTGGACCTAAGGGGATCATAAATGATACAAACGCAGCGTTTTATGTTTTCCTAGATTTGCAATGTTAGAGACAAACGACGATACTGAAAGAAAGAGAAACAACGCACCTGATAGTTTAGAAAGGTCTCTATTAGCTCCACAGTTTGGAAAGAACCCATGTATGTCGACTGGTACCTGGAGAAAAAAAGTTCTTAGATCAAGAAAAGAAACAAAACTCTTCGCATACCATCCAACGGTATTGTTGTCAACATTGACTTCTCGCAAGCATCTCATCATCTCGAGCTGATAGTTCGCTCCATCCGATTCAAGCTCTTCATCCTCTTCTCCACCTCTGCTCTGCGCAAACCAAGAGAGAACTAAGCTCAAATCCAATTTTTCCAAGCCTACCCATACCGGGAATGGAAAACAATTTGTAATCTCGAGCGTGGTTCCAATATCCAGTCCCAGGAGCTGTCCAGTCACGAGCGCAGGCATACATTCCTTGCAATGCTTGATGATCTTGAGCACCACCTGTGGTGGAGACAAAGAAAACACTAAGAAAACCTTTAAAATCATCGCAAGTCACTCACAAGGCCATCGATTTGGACAGCGCGCAAAGGGCTTGTGACCTCCTCTTGACTGGCGATCTGCGCAAAGGACCGCACCAGAGCTGGAGAAACGCGATGAATCAAACCATCGCCACATCGATTGAAGAGAACTTACGTGCTGGCGCCTCAGACATTGAGCTCCTCCGCCCTTGCGCGATTAGGGTTTTGGGCACAGTCGGCTATATACAGCCCTAGCGAAACTTTCTATCCGTTAGACGTTCGAATCGCAGCTGAGAGAGGAAAGGTTTAGGGTTTTAAGGGGAGCGGACGAGCGATCGATCGATCGAAGCGTGCGGGCATGGGGACTGGGCAGCAAGCGGCGACGCGCGATGTGATCACGCTGAAGGGATCCTCGTCCATCGTTGGGGAGTTCTTCTGTGAGTATAGGAGAATGTGTGTCGATCGAGTGAAAATCGCATGATTTGTTTGTTTTCTCATCCTCTTTTTGTGTGTAGAATGTCATTAGAACCAGCATTTCTTCTCGATCATCGTTTATCCCCTTCTTCTTGAAGAGATCGAGTGGAAATAGCTTGATTTGCTTGTATTTTCATTCTCGTTGTATGTCTAGAATGTCAATAGAATCAGCATTTCTTCTCGATAATTGTTTATGCTCTTCTTCTTCTTTGATTTCTTTTTCTACATGGTTTTCTCACTTGTCCATTGTTTTTTTCCCTTGCAGCTTATGCTGTCAATAGCATTCTTTTCCAACGAGGCTTGTATCCATCTGAGCAGTTTGATAGAGTGAAGAAATATGGCTTGACAATGCTAGTTTCTCACGAAGACAAAGTGAAGGGCTATATCTCGGCAGTGACTTCGCAGATTGCCGGTATGTTTCTTTCTCGTGTTCTAACTTCTCTTCATCCAGAGAGTGGCTTGATTGTACAGATTGGTTGCAAACTGGAAAAGTCCAGCGCGTTGTGATGGTGATCTCGAGCTTGGCAACGAAAGAAGTTCTCGAGAGGTGGAACTTTTTGATTGAAACAGACCGGGACGCCACAGAAACGGGGTAAAATTCTTCTCTCCAAGCTTGCTCTTGACTATAGCGTTTTCTTCTTTCTCAGTGCCACGAAAGAAAAGAGCGACAAGGAGATAATGCAAGAGATTCAAGCCATCATGCGACAAATCACCTCCAGCGTCACATTTCTTCCTCACCTCGAAGAATCATGTAAGCAATGTTTTATCTTTTCTCACTTCCATTCTAAAACATCTCTCAAGGTTCTTTCGAGCTGCTTGTTTACACCGACACGGACTTGGAAGCTCCCACTTCCTGGGAAGAAAGCGATCCCCGGCTCATCAAGAAAGCCCAGGAGGTGAAACTACGCTCTCTCAACACAAAGGTAGGCAATAATTTCGCCCCCATCAAGCTCTCACTCCCTCGTTTCTCTCCATTTTTTTCTTCGCAGATCCACAAGATCGACTCCTTAGTCGCTTACAAAGTAGACGACGATTCAAACGTCTAGCTCGTGTAAAATTCGAAGCTCCCTTAAGCGTATTATATTATCTCTTAATGCATTAGTCTTAGACTAATCACGGTCTGACGGTTAGCGTTAGCTTATTAAGATCAACGGCTAATTTGAAGTTGTGTTAAGCGGGTAAGATTTAGACTAATCATGATCGGACGGCTATCGTTAGCCTAGCAAGATCAACGGCTTGCATTCTTAGATATAGACCCCCGCCGCCGAGGTTTAGGGTTCGTCAAGGCGAGGAGCGGCGGCGAAGAAGGACGAGTCTGGAGCCATGCAGATCTTCGTCAAGACATGTAAGTTCTTCCTCGCTCTCGATGCGGCGCCGCCGATTCTGATCGATTCCGCGCTCGCGCGCCTCGATTGTTTCCAGTGACCGGCAAGACCATCACTTTGGAGGTCGAGTCCTCGGATACGATCGACAATGTGAAGACCAAGATCCAGGACAAGGAGGGCATCCCCCCGGACCAGCAGCGCCTCATCTTCGCGGGCAAGCAGCTCGAGGATGGGCGCACGCTCGCGGACTACAACATCCAGAAGGAATCCACGCTCCACTTGGTGCTGCGCCTCCGCGGTGGCGGCAAGAAGAGGAAGAAGAAGACGTACACCAAGCCCAAGAAGATCAAGCACAAGAAGAAGAAGGTGAAGCTCGCGGTGCTCCAGTACTACAAGGTGGACGATTCGGGCAAGGTGAACAGGCTGCGCAAGGAGTGCCCCAATCCAGAGTGTGGCGCCGGGACTTTCATGGCGAATCACTTTGATCGTCACTACTGTGGCAAGTGTGGACTCACCTATGTCTACCAGAAGGCCGAGGCGTAGAGAGCCTGGGATGAGAGCTCTCTTCTCCCATTTTCCTGGAACGCTAAGTCTCTCTCTTTTGATTTCCTTTCTAAGCTCTTGCTATATGGCAGTGTTGTTTTGTAGGCTAGCTTCTCTTGTTAAAGGTGGTGCTTTGGTAAGCAATTGCCAAAGCTTTTCTATTCACGAGTTGTATCTCTATTTCCAGGGCTTTCTTAGAAATAGAGTCTAAGCATTCCACTCACTCTTTGGCCATCTCGGTTGATCCAAGATGATCTTGTTTCAGCGCTCATTCTTTCTGGAACAAAGTCTTCACATTGCTTTGGTAAGCAATTGCCAAAGCTTTTCTCTTCACGAGTTGATCGATCTTTCTTTTTCTGTGTTCCAGCTTCTTTCGTGCTCTAGAAATAGTTGTCTAGGCATTCCATTTTTCATGGAACGCGTTACTTCTCTTGGTATATGGTGGTGTTGTGAGTTTAGTCTTCACACTTGTTCAAAGCTTCTCAGTCGCTTTGGCAAGCACTTGGTTTTGCTTTGGCAAGCAATTGCCAAACCTTTTCTCTCCAAGAGTTGATCGATCTTTCTTTCTCTGCCACGAAACTTTCGTCTTCACAGTTTGGATTCTCAATTGCTTTGGTAAGCAATCGCCAAAGTTTTCTCGCGAGTTAATCGCTCTTTCTCTCTGTTCCAGGGACAAACAAGTTTCTTTCTCTAGAAATAGTTCCTTTTCTATGAAACGCGTTACTTCTCTCGTGGTGTTGTTCCAGCGCTCATTCTTTCTGGAAGAGGTACGAAAGTTTAGTCTTGTTTAAAGATTCTCAACTGCTTTGGAAGGAAGCCTTTCTATTCATCTCTTTCTTTCTCTGCGTTCCAGGGACAAACAAGCTTCCTTCGTGCTCTCTACAAATAGTGTTAAGCATTCCATTTATGGAGCGCGTTACTTCTATTTGGCCGTCTCGGTTGATCCAAGATGTGGTGTTCATTCTTCTGGAACCTCGAGAGCGACGTAAGTTTAGTCTTCACACTTTGTTCAAAGATTATCATTTTCCTTAACCAAATGTTTGTTTACAGTATTTCTGCTCGTCCCGGCTTAGAAAACGACAAATAACAGAGCTTGTTTCGCGCGTTCCTGCGAGGCTTGGCTATGGTTTCCACAACCATGGTTGCACTAATCTTCGCGTTTCTTCTCGTTGTGTGCGCAGTCGAGGGCCATGAGATCCTCAGCAGGAGAAGCTTTCCAAAAGGCTTCGTGTTTGGAACAGCGTCCGCGGCATACCAGGTGGAGCTTGAGTTTTTCGTCTTTCTCTTCTTTTCTTCTGCAAACACTCAATCAACGTTTATATTCCAGTATGAAGGCGCTGCTAGAGAAGGTGGAAGGGGTCCAAGCATCTGGGACGTTTATGCTCACACTCCAGGTAGAGACTAGTCGGTTACATAGCTCTTGTTTATCGGTTTCTCCAGGAAAAATAATGGATGGAACAACTGGAGATGTTGCAGTGGATCAGTATCATCGTTATAAGGTCCTGAAAGCTCTATCTGGTTTGGTTTTTTGCTCCTGACCGTGAACCAACAGGAAGATGTCGGATTGATGGTGGACATGGGCGTGGATGCTTACAGATTTTCCATCTCCTGGTCTCGGATTTTCCCTGGTATGCTACATATCAGCTACTTGCATCTTTGAAAAGATAGCTCTTGCAGAGGGGAGGGGCAAAATCAACCAGGAAGGTGTGGATTACTACAACAACCTTATCAATGAACTTCTCAAGAAAGGTAGGTAGGATCAGTTTTTTTTTCTTTCTTTTTCTTGACTTTTTATCTTCTTTGTCTTTTTTGGACAGGGATTCAACCTTACGTAACTTTGTTTCACTGGGACAGTCCTCAAGCTTTGGAAGATGCCTACAAGACATGGCTGAGCTCCAGAATAGTGTGAGTTTTCACTAAACTCGGAGGAGTCCATTGTGCTTAAAGCGTTGATTTTTACAGGGATGATTATGCAGCTTATGCCGAAGCATGCTTCAGAGCGTTTGGAGATCGTGTCAAGCATTGGATTACTTTCAACGAGCCTCATGTGGTTTGTAACTTTGGTTACAATTTTGGCATGCTTGCTCCTGGAAGATGCTCGTCTGAAGTTGGCAATTGCTCTGCTGGGAACTCTTCAGTGGAGCCTTACATTGTTGGACATCATATCCTTTTATCTCACGCGTCCGCAGTGAAGATATACCGAGAAAAATACCAGGTCTCAAAGACGTGTTTCATTTCCTGATTGGATTTTCTGGCTTCTATTCTTTTCTCAGGAGAAACAAGCTGGAATCATCGGTATTACTCTCGATGCGCAATGGCACGAACCTTTCTCTAGGTCCTCAAAGGATAAAGCTGCAGCTAGAAGAGCCTTGGACTTCAATCTTGGATGGTAAGAGCTTCAGCTCTCCTAGACTTTCTGACAAAGAATGGTTCTAGGATGCTGGATCCAATCATGTTCGGGGACTATCCAGCAACAATGCGCTCTCGCGTTCGCGACCGTCTTCCAAAGTTCACCAAAGAACAATCCAAACGTCTCAAAGGATCTCATGACTTCATTGGGATTAACCACTACACAAGCTTTTACGACGCAGACGCTAGTAATTCTAATCATCCACAAGCAGCGTTCTCCCAACAAGCTTATTTCAAAGACACTGGAGTTTTCTCTACAGGTTTGACAAGTTCATACTCTTTCTTCAAAAGCTTGAATCCCATTATGGTCGCAGATATGAGGAATGGTCGTTTAATTGGACAGAACGTGAATGGATTTTACATCGTTCCATTCGGAATGAGGCGCCTTCTCAACTACATTCGTCTCCGGTACAACAATCCAACGATTTTCATCACAGAAAACGGTGAGCTTTGGCTGCTAAAGTTTCTTTCACTAAATTCGCTATCAGGAATAAGCGACGTTACAAACGCGACAGCTCCATTGAAGGAAGTACTCAACGACACGACAAGGGTGAATTTCTTGAAGGCCTACCTTTCCAATCTTCGAGCAGCAATTGCGTAAGCTTCTTAACTTGGCAAGCTCATGTTCTCTTTTTCATCATCTCCGTGCTTGTGTAGCGATGGCTCCGATGTTCGCGGCTACTTTGTGTGGTCTCTGCTGGATAACTTCGAGTGGTCGAGAGGACTGTCAGTGAAATTCGGCCTTTATCACGTTGAGTATGAGAAGGACTTGCAAAGAGTTCCCAAGAAATCCGCATGGTGGTACAAGAAATTCCTGACAAAGTAGTGGTGCCATGTATAGTATAGTAAATTTATTGCAGTCCTTAAAATTACCATCCAGTCAAGCGCAAATTCTCCGTTTTTATTAACACTAGCAACCGAGAATTTTATTAGTTGTCCCTTTCGTTTAGCAATCATGCTTAATATGATAATTAGTCTGATTAAGCGAAGCTGACCGCATTTTCTGTTTTGGCTAGTTTTTAGCTCTCATCACCACCATAGAAATAGAAATGTGGCTCCAAATGTAGAGTTATAGAGATGCCATATAACTTTTTGTCTATTCTTTAAATTTTGTAATTGCAAAGGTTCAGAAAAGCAGCTGATATTAATATTTGGATAGCTATCCTAGATTCAAAAATGCATACAACTAGTGTGATATATGTAACATATACGTACGAAAGGCTTAGCTTGTTTTGTTAAGGGTTTTACTTTAATCGACCTTTCTTTTTCTTCGTTCCAGGAACAAACAAGCTTCTTTCTTGCTGTCTAGAAACAGTGTCAAGCATTCCATTTTCATGGGCTTCTCTTTGTCCGTCTCGATTGATCCCAGATGGTGGTGTTCTTCCAGCGCTCATTCTTTCTGAGCTACATAACTTTAGTCTCCACACTTTGTTCAAAGATTCTCGATTTCCTTAGCAAGAAGTTTGCTATCGTGCCGGCTTCTCGAACTTGGGCAGGACAACGTAGAAAATGACAAAGAACAAAGAGCTTCTTATTGTTCCTCCATGTGGGGGGTTTCCGGATTGAGAGCAACAATGAATCTTCGCATTTCTTCTCGTTGTGAGCGCAGTCGAGGGCCATGAGATCCTCAGCAGGAGAAGCTTTCCAGAAGGCTTCGTGTTTGGAACATCGTCCGCGTCATACCAGGTAGAGCTTAGAGTTTTTCGTCATTCTTCAAGCAAAGTTTGCGTTCCAATATGAAGGCGCTGTTAAAGACACACTCAACTGAAGTGGATCAGTATCATCGTTATAAGGTCCTGAAAGCTCTCTCTGGTTCTTTGCCCCGAAGACGTCGGATTGAAGGAGCCTCTATCACGTCGAGTATTGCAAAGAATTCCCACGTTGGTAACATCCACAGGAAGATCCTTTGAAATTTTTTTCTAGAAATTAGCCTTTCATATTATACTCATCAGTTTAGCTTTTGTTAAAGTTTGTTCAATTTCCTTTTTATTTTAGAACAAATCAATGTTATAATTAGTCAAATTAAGCGGGGATAGCTCAGTTGGGAGAGCGTCAAACTGAAGATCTGAAGGTCACATGTTCGATCCACGTTCACCGCATTTTTCGTTTCAGATGTGGAGGAAGATCGAAGTTACAGCAGTATGAATCCAGCTCTAGGAAAGTAGCTTCTTCTTCTAAACTGCTTCCACACCGAGCTTATAAAAAGAAAGTGAATTTAAAACCTACAAAGCTTTGAGCTTTAGAAAGAAAATCAAAAGACAACTATTCTAGAGCACGCTGGAACACAAGATCAATAGAAAAGCTTTGGCAATTTCTTACCAAAGCACCACCTATTGCAAGAACTTATTAGAAAGTAAAACAAAAAAGAGAGACTTTAGCGTTCCAGGAAAAAGCTCATTTACTAATCATAAACCTATATAAACAGCATAAAACAAGAATTTTTTATGACGATCAAATTGATGAAAATAAAAGTCTGAGATGGCAACCACCTGTACCCTAATTTTTGACACGTAGTGCGCGACACGTAAGCGTGCGCCCTATCCCACATGCGAAGGCGCAGAATCGTGCCGGGGCTTGAGTATATAAAGAGAGGGCTGGGCATAGGAAACTCATACCTTTCTCGGCCTTTTGGCTAAGATCAAGTGTAGTATCTGTTCTTATCAGTTTAATAGCTGATATGGGACCACGTGTCCCAACGCTATTAACCTAATTTTTTGTGGGAGGGGGGCCACCGGTAGCTTGCTACCCGGTCCTCCACGTGTCGCTTTGGTCTTACACTATCGCCTTAGCCTGGCACAACCCAACCCCCCCAAATTTTAAACTCAAGAAGCATTATTAGTCTTTGTTGTGGCTTACGAACACCGGTTCTCTTGAAAGGAAACGCCCTGAAATAAAACTATGGCGAAACGCGCATCACATTTGAGGGCTGGATTCCCATGGGCCAAGTCGGTTTGCCAGCAAGCGCCATATGGTCTCGGAGAGGACGCTCGTCGAGGCGAGCATTCCAGATAAGATGTCCTGACCCAAGCTTCTTCTCGTCTGTGGTTCATAGCTTGGCGGCCGCTGAGCTCGCCATGGGGCTCCCAGAGCTCTGGAGCTCGACGTGAAGCGCTACAAGCTGCTGCTCTACGAGGCTGGAGGACACTTCAAAAGTTCCACACGGAGAAGGAAGCTGGGATGTTTGCAACAGTGATCGTCCAGCTCGCGGTCCGCGCAGCTCCAGCAACTACCTCTTGACTATCTTCTTTTGCGGCTGCGAGCACCAGCTCGAGGAAGTTACTGGCGGATCGAGGCTGTGCCTGGACGTGGAGTTCATTTGTGTCTTCGGTGAAAGAGCTTCTCTGGGAATGGGTCGAGAAAGGCGGCGGCGGCGTGGTGCAGAGAGCAAACGCGCCCAGAAGATCGAACGCACCCCTGATGCAACTCGCCACGGTAAGCATCGATCTCTACTCTAGTTTTTTCCATTTCTAAGCGTTTGTGGCTTTGGCAATAGCGTGCGGCGAGGCCGAGGACTCAAGAGGAAGATGATGATAGCTACGATGACGATGACTCATATGCATACTTTCTCAACCGCGAGGAGTAGCACTTGGCGATCCCGCTGGCTCACCAAGACTAGCCTCTCGTTTGCCGGGCTCAAGGGCCACGACCGAGAACTTTTCTCGCTGCGATCAAGGCTTGCGGCTGCTGTGCAGAGGGGAGGCTGTGGAGATCTGTAGGAATAATGATGAACACGACAAGCAGTCCGAATCGTGATCAGATCTCTAGTGATTTCCGATTTGATTGAAGTTGTATATATATACAGCCATATATGAATCAAGGTGTGTGTGTTGAAGTGAAATTCGTTGTTCTTGCTCCGCTTTTCTTTCTTGGTATCGGAGCTTAGTTTCTGAACTCTTTCTTCTCCTTTCTTTGTGCCTCACATCATGAGCTGCAGCAAAGTTGGATTGATCTTGCTTCATGCCTTTGATGGGAGGAGAGGGTTCAACACCTGGTCCGAGAAAATGATGCGCGTGCTGCAGATGGAAGAACTCTGGGAAATCGTTTCACCACCGACAATCGCTGCAGATGCTCGTACGCGGCGAGCCCTTGCTGCATCGGGAGCTTCAACTTTGGTGGAAGGAGAAGTCGTGGATGAAGAGGCAATTCGTGCCTCTGTTGCAGCAGCTCGACAACAGCTTGATCCAGGGGAATAAGCTGTGCTGGAGAAGAAGGAATCTCGAGCAAAAGGATTGATTCTTTCTAAGCTTGCAGATGCCCTTATGATGCGTTTGCGTCATAAGTGTGCTTCTGAGATCTGGGCTCATCTCCACAACAAGTATGCTGTTCTTTCCCTCTCCAAGATTAGCATGGTCGAGACTTGCATTCGTGAGACCCGTTTTCATCCAGGCGAGAACTTTGAAGAGTTCCTCGCCGAGATGCAAGATCTGTGGATGGAGCTTGAAGGCAGTCCAGCAGCGTTCAACGAAAGCAAGAAAGTTCTGGCACTTTGCGAGGCCATGCAAGATTCATCTTTTAGTTCTTTCATCCCTACCGTTCGCATGATGTCGCTCAACTTTGAACAAGCTGAGCAAACTTTATGCTCGGAGCTGGCTGCGAGAGGTTTGATTGTGGACTTTGATCAGAGGCCTTCCCATGTTTTGATCTCACAGTCTACATCAAATGCTTCTGCATCAATCAATCAATCAATCAGGGACTGATTCAGCTCTGTGGGCTGGAAATCATCGAGGCAGAGGAGGCCACGGAAGAGGAGGATGAGGCAGAGGTCACGGGTTTAGGAGAAATCCGCAGCAGCAGCAGAATTCAGGGAATTCTGGTAAAGAAGCAGTAGTTTGGGATTGTTTTGTGGGCAAAAACAAACAGGAATGTTGGACTTGTGGGATGCCAGGACACTACTCCAAGGATTGCCCAGTTGCAGCTTGGCTGCAGCGCATGAACATAGGGCTCGCAGCAAATGCTCAGGAAGGGGAAACACAGGAACTTGCGGCATCATCTGAGGTAGCAGTTCCAAATGTTTCTGAAAAACTGACCATCGATTCAGGTTCAGAGAGACACCTGATGCAAAGCGGGTCAAACTTTGTGCAGTTGCGTGCTGCAAAAGGGAAGTGCATTCGTGTGGGAGATGGAAGCATTTTATTTGTTTATGCAACTAGGGATGTGCGAGTTCCACTGGGAAGAAAGTCTTTGCTCTTGAAGAATGCATGGTATGTTCCAAAGATAGTGAAGAATTTGGTTTCTGTAGCCAGGCTTACGGATGAAGGTCTGGATGTGAATTTCTCCAAACATCAATGTCAAGTTCTTGCAAATGGCCGTCCATTACTACATTTTCCCAGATGTGGTAACCTGTTTGAGAAGGAGATAGCTTTTGGAGAAAAATTGAATGCTCCTGAGATATGCATAACTGCAGATAGTTCTCTCTGGCATTCTCGACTTGCACATGCCAATCCCCCTCTCATCAGGCATATGCAGAAGCAGGAGCTTGTGGATGGCTTCAACGACCACGTTCTTCAAAGTTTAGCAAAATGTCACACTTGCATTCTTGGCAAGCAAACCCGTCGTACTTTCAAACCTGTTGTGATCAAAAGCACTCGTCCCTTGCAGCTCATTCACTCAGATGTTTGTGGACCCATGCGACTGTTTGCTCGAATGGCACGAAGTATTTTGTGACATTTACAGATGATTTCTCCAGGCACACGGACGTCTTCTTTCTTCGTCACAAAGATGAAGTCTTCAGCAAATTCAAGCAATTCATAGTAGAAGCCGAAGTGAAAACTAGTCAGAGGGTTGGTTGTTTACATACTGATTCAGGAGGGGAATACGTCAACAAGTCCTTTCAGCAGTTCTGTGCTGAACGAGGAATTCTTCATCAGTGCTCTTGCTCTCATACCCCTCAACAGAATGGAGTCTCTGA